ACTTGTTATATCAAGTAATTTGGTTAGCAGCAAAAGGCAAATAGAGCAGCAGCTGATGAGTTGTGCTAACTCAAGCTGTAATTTGTGGTTGCATTCACACTGGACAGATAACTTGAGCATCAGCAATGGTTACTTGAGTTTCAACCAACTCTACCTGGAATTTAAAGGACCACTTGAGTCAAAGATTTTTGTGGGAGTGCAGAAATTAGGTTAGTGGCAATGCCTGAGTTATACCTCATGCTAAAGCTGCAGTGAAGACAAGCTCTAACAGCCAGACCTGGTTTGGTTGCAGAAGCAGCTAAATAAGACTAAATCAGAATTTAGGCAACTACATTTCCAGAAGTAATCCAGATTGGGCCTACTTTACAAGGCACAAAAAATAAGGAAGTAAATCTTTTCTTTAGGAGGAGTAAGACTTGGATTGGGATTCCTGATGCCAAGGTTATTTAAAAAACTAATGAGAGAGCTCTTTCTGAAAAGGAAGTTTCTTTTACTTAAGTAAAGGAGCCTTTGGTGGTATGTGATGTTTATACAGTGGGGGAGGGGAAGGGAGCAGGAGGTTGGAAGTGGAGCCAAAGCACTGTAAGTTTAACAGCATCTCATATACACAATGTAAGACCAATTTCTAAAACTTAAAAGACAACCTTAATTTAAAAACTGTCCATTTAGCTTTATATTATTTTTACATGTATTGTGGTAACCCCATGTGTCCCCAGCTGAGGTTAGAGCCCCAGTCTTCCAGATGCTGTACAGAAGTACAGAGGAGAAGATACATCTTTGGACAGACAAAACAGACAAGATTGGGAAACTGACACATCAAAGTAGAAAATTGTGAACAGATGCCTGCTAAGATCATGTGATTTGCCTAAATATACAGTGGAAGTCTCTGGTGGAGCCCAGAAATTTAACCCAGTTTTCCCGAGTCCAACTCCAGTTCCTTAACCATGAGCTTATTCTGCTTCATACATTTAATTCCTCTAAGCATCTAAAACTTGATTAAACCATTTAAATACATATATAGTTCCTTGTCAAAGTACTCTACACTGGGAAATCTCTATGTAAAATCCCACCAGTTTCCTGGGACTTTGCATGAGCTGAGGGCTCTGCCTCTGCTGAGCAGTTAAAGAAGTGGGGCTTTAGATATCTAATTTAAGGTGCATAGATTTGAAAAGTTAACAATTAATTGAAATTAAGAACATGGAGATGCTATTTCAATTATAGATCCATTAACCCATATTTTATCAAAGTAGATGATTGGGTAAAATTCTGTTACTAAATCTTTAAAATTCATAATTTACTTGTTTGCTATGGATACAATTGTGTATTAATGGAATAAAAAGACTCCAGTGGGGATTTTGAAATGCCCCAAAATAGTCTAATGGGAGTTCTGGTTAGTGTAAACTCATATGAAAACATAAACTACACAAGCCTGAAAAAAATCAAAAGAGCCACAGCCATTATATAGATTAGCATTACAGATTAATCATTTATTATCAAGACACATAATTTAATAGTGCCCATTATATACCTTATATTGAGGTGCAGAAGTGAAAACATTTGGAACCATGACTAATACCTGATACAAGAAATTTACTGTCAAGCAGTATAGATTAAGTCATTTACTCCGCATGTAAAAATGAAGCATGCGCTTTTTTTAGCGTGAAGAGTCATTTGAGACTGAAAAAGAAGCGGTAATGAGTATAGAGCCTATTTCTCAAGCTGAAGGAAACCTTGGAGATAGTGCTTCTAGGACACACATTCATCATGTCAAAATGCTTTATCAAGGGAAATTAGACCCCTTCTGAAAAATGAAAAGTTTGCCTCTTTCATGTAGTTGTTCCAAGCTAATCAACCACAATGAATTAAGAGGAGGCTTAAAATCAATGTCCTTTGTCATTAGGTTAAACTAAGCATAAGTGCTATGGCCCAAAGTGTCTGTATTTTCCCAGTTATTCCTTTTTCCAGGCAATCAGCCATCACATAAATTAATGTCCCCTACGCCTTGACCAAATAGCAAAATTGGCAACATTTGTGCAGACAACAGAGTGACCCCTGCTATTTATTTTTTAGTCTTAAATGATAATAAGAAAATATTTCCTGGAGATTTTTAGATTCGCAAATAAATGATATCAGATATGAACGCAAAATGATTTGTTTCCTTCATTTCCTGTGATTCTACAAGTTATCTATGGGAAAGAAAGAGTTTGGAGGTTTTCACAACACTCTTGCAACCAAGATGAGGAGGATTCAATGCCAGCTTTCTCTCTAAAGCAGTGATTCGCAACCAGGGATCCATAGTACCCTGAAATGCCATGAGATCCTTTCAACCATACCATGGGACATTAGGAGGCAAGCGCTTGCTCATCCCAGCTCCACTGTACAAGGCGGTAAATGCTCCCTCTTCCCCACCGGGCCCCTGTGCAAGGAGGTAAGCACTGAGAACCACTCTTCTAAAGTCTGGGATAGAGAAACTTCTCACATGGCAAATTCTTTGAGTTATTTGGGTTTGGGGGAGATTTGTATGTTTTTTAATTACCAATAGGTGGCCAAAACTTGTATCTCTCCCTGCTTAACTCATACATAAGTGTTAACCCCAGCTTTGGGGATGCTGTTCAAGACACTAGGAGGTAAAGCACATATATATGCTGAGCTCAGACAATTTTTTGTAGTGTTATCTGCAGGGTCTATGTTTCAAATCCTGAGAGCTCACCATTTGAATTCCTGTTATCAGCAAAAAGGATGGTTGTCACAAAAATCAGAGTTTATCCAGGATTTGAATACTGTAGGTATTCAAACCCCCTGAGCATGGCAGTGCATCCCCTATGAAAAGGGCACTGCTGACACTGCCAGCGGCGCCTGCAGGCAGTCGCCACTTGCCACCCCCCTGCCCCTCGCCGCCAAAACCACCGGCAGTGTCTGTGGGTAGTCCACAATCGCTGCTGGCCACCGCCAATGCTGCTGGTGGCGTCTTGCCACCATCTCCCCCCCGCCCCTGCTGTCAACAGTGCCATGGCTGTCTGTGGAAGCTCCCCGTTTACTGTCACCACGCTCCTGCTCACCATGCCCCCCTCCCACCCCAGCCTCCAGGGGCACACAGCATTCATGGAGGAAATATATGAAATATTTAATTTATCCATGTATATTACCTGTCCCTCTCTCTGCCCAAAGCACAGGGATTATGGGTCTGTAGAGCTCCCAGGTTGAGAACTTGACTCTTTAACTAAGGCTCATAAAATATATTTTCACCACAAACATACTATAAGAGACAACAGTACAAGCATGCAGTACAGTCTGAACGAGCTAACTCCTGAACAAGAAGTAGTGTGCCCAGGCTAATTAGCAGTGACTTATAAGAAGCAATTAGCCCCACATGCAACACCACACAAGTCCAGCTATAATGCTCAGGAGGCAGCCTGCACAGTGTATTTGAGGGGACCACTGACTGGCATAATAATGTTATAGTACAGACATGCCCACATTTTCAGTTAAAGACTCCCTCATTTCAGTCCCTTACAACATACAAATCGGTGGCCATAAGCTCTATGCAACAGGCTAATGTGTCTTATAAGCCTGATGCACAGATAGGTGAAGCATCTCCACATATAGCTACATTGTGATAAGGATCTCCCAGTGCCAGCCCCGTGACCACAAAGCTGGCACTGGGAGATAAGAATCTCCCAGCCCCCACTCCATGATCATGATCTCCGAGCAGGGGGCTGGAACCTCCCTGAGGCTGGGGCAGGAGGACATAGTCTCCACCTGGGCTTCAGTGGCAGAGCCCACGCCAGCAGCAGGCAGCTCCTGGGGACAGGCAGCAACCTCCCGCCCGCTGCTGCCCAGCTGACCAGGCATCTACACATATGTTACTGCACAGTAATTCCCAGTCAGGCATCTACACAAATGTTACTGCACAGTAACTAGTCGCTAGTAAATTTGATGCTTGCATTTGCAGGTAGCAAATTTACTCAAGATTAGAGCAGTTTACTGTGCAGTAAGTGTGTGACATGCACACATGGGTAACTAGTGCCTCCTGAGGCTGGTGAGTCCTTGCAGAAGTCACTGGCAGTGGCGGTGGTGGGAATGGGGCTGGGGAGCACCTGCAGAAGCCAGTGGTGGCATCAGTGGTGGGGACAGGGCTGGTGAGCACCTGCAGAAGCTGTTGGTGGCGGGGACGGGGCTGGCAAGCACTCGCAGAAGCTGCCGGTGGTGTCGGCAGCAGGGACAGCCCTGTCAGCGGGGGCATGTGCCCCCCCCATGCTCCTCCTACCAGTCACCTATGCACTCATGCTAACTACACAGTAAACTGCTCTATTGCTCAGTAAAGTATCTCATGTAGACATACCCAGTTAAATTTGGCCAAAGTCCATTTCAGGCCTACACTTGATCCTACTGGATCCAGTGGAGTTGTATCAAGATCAGAGACACTAACTCCTCTTCCACCCCACTCCCCGGCTATTCTAATCAAAGTATTTTGCAATGGCCATCTCATTTACCTGATCTTATCCTTCATCTCCATTCTCTTTGCTCCCGTGATCTCCTCCTGCTAGAAACATGAAGCAGAACTTACGATTTATTCATTAACTTCTTTGCTCATGCATCGTTGTTTCCTGTTTAAATGGCTGCTAGAAAGCCCAGCCATATGAAGCCCCTTTCAATTGTTCAGTCCATGTCTTATCTCCAAAATCTGGCAGTGCTTCTAGTTGTTGCTACTTATCCAATTTCCTTGTCAAGTCTCCCTTACACTCCAAAGGGTTTGTCCATCTTATTTTCTTAAACAGAACAGTATTTGGAGAGCAAGTAGGTCCTGGATTCTTTCTGAAATTAAACTTGAATTGTTTTCTTTTATAATTGAACCTTGTTCAGTTGTTCTGTAGTAGCTGTCATCTCCATTTTTTCCTTTCCTTCTTCTTCCTGAAAGCAGAGAGAATAGCAGAGAGTGTGTCAGTCCTCTCTTCTCCCGTTGATCTGCTAGTAGGCACTTCTCAGCATCATCTCGGAGGTTCTGAGAGAAGAAAAAGAAATGGGAAAGACGGAACCGGGCATTAACACAGAAAGGAACTGAACTGAAGGGCATGGAAAAGTCATTTCCTCTGAGGACATAGCTGCAGTTGCTGCCTTTATGTGAGTCATGTTTCTAATTATAAAACTGCACTGTGCATTACAGTATTTGCAAGCACATGGAGATCAGGAACAAAGCTATGAGATTTTTTTCTCTGTGCATTCTTACAGAAAACTATCATATACTTTGGATTCATAACAGACTAACTGCCGTATGAATCCTGAATTAGAGACAGATTTTTACTTTCTCCTTGCTTTAGAATACACTGAAAAAAACTCTCAGGTTTACCTAGGCATATATCTTTGTTAAAACTATGTCACCAAACTGAGGAGCATGTTGGGCAGAATACTTTTGCCTTGGGATGGATTAGATTGCAGTGAAATTAGCTAGACTATAGCCAAGCTTTCCAAGGGAGGATTCATAATTTTGCAGTTCTACTTACATTTTTTTAGGTCAGCCTCCATGTTATGCTACTATAAATACTTCACATAGTTTTTAGAAATAAAGTGTAACCATTTCCTTCCAATCAAAATAACAGAATGTACTATTCTTGCAACCTGAATAGTGTACAATAAATGAAAGACTTCCGCTGTCAAGCAGCACAAGTTGAGTCATTCTATATGTATGTAAAATAAAGCATGTTTCATCTTTGGCATGAACAAAGCTATGTCCAGCTTCATGTTTGTTTGGCAATTGCTGCTTTGTCCTTCTTAGGCTGTGATAAAGCCTTTTTTTCCAATCTAAAAATATGTGAATAGGTTCTCCAGTCCCTCATGCTTCCTTCCATCCCTTTGCAAACACCGTCCCATTCCAGTACACAAGTTCATCACAGACAGAAGGAAAATGATTGTGGGAAACCTTATTAAACTACTGGCAACCAAACACTGTTTTGTGCTGTGGAAATATAACTGCTATTCTCTGTGTTTCAGGCTAGGCTAGCAGGTGCTTTCATCAAAACCTAATTCTATATCTATGTATATTTGTCTCCAACAAACACTCTAGAGATCCACACAGGATCTACAGCATAAAAATATATATGAAAAATTATAGGATTATTTAGTTTTGATCATTTTGCAAAGAATGTTAAAAAAAACAGCTTATAATAGAAATCTACTGTAATTACAACCTTGAGAGAATATGTCCCATAATTAGTGAGTGACATAGTTTCCTGATGCTTGTTCTTCATTGCCATGCTTAGTCTAATATGAATGGTCCTTTATGATGTTGATCTGGGGAAACTTTGTTTTTACTTCATTTGTGGTTTTGTGCCCAGTACTGTACATGACCTGCATGCTGACAAAGAAATAGGCCAGTTTGGCCAGGGAGCCTGCCCCAGCAGGGCTTAAGGTGATGACGTGTCCCTAGGCACTAGTGGGATCTCCAGACCTACCCTTACAGTTCCATCTGCAAATCACCTGTTAAAATACAAACTGAAACATTAGCCCACTGGCTCCAACTCCCCGGCACACTGTCTAGCTGAAATTCCCTGTCTGAACAGAGTCTCCTGCTCTGCCAGTTCTCAGCTCCATACTGGTCTCTCCCTGGGATAGCAGGACCGCTTTCTGGCTTTCCTTGGCAGGCAGTCTACTGTAGGGCTCCTTCCCCTTTGGCCTCCAGGGTATACTGCCCTACTCTCACTCAGGGCCTGTGCTTATATAGTTCCCCAGCCCCACCCCCAGCTGATCACCTGCCTCCCTGAGCTGCCATAGGCGCTTTTGGATTTGGCTTGCTGGAGCAGCCTCAGGATGGCCCCTTGCTGGTAGGTCTTCCACTGTTTCTATGCAAACCTCCAGCCTGCGATGCTGCCTCCACTGGCTCTGTGGTGAATGTTTCATCTAGTCTTTTCTACCCTTTAGTCTTTGCCTGATGGTTTGGCTGGCCAGCAGGCTCCAGAGTTTCCTTCCCCTTCTCAGCAGTAGGGCATGAGCCACATTACACCATGTTTCCAGATCACAAACCTAATAAAAATCATGATGTCATCTACAGTAGGGAACAGAAACAAAATCTGGTTATCAGCTACCAGATACAAACGCATCTGGCTATCTAGCTCCCTGACTAGCACTATCTTTACTGCCTGACATGACTATGTAGGGCCTTTCTGAGTTCAGGCAGGGCTAAGCAAGCATGGAATAGAGGCTGCTGTCTATTCACAGATTCATAGATGTTAGGGTTGGAAGGGACCTCAATAGATCATCGAGTCCGACCCCCTGCATAGGCAGG